TTTGTTTTTGCATCCATTCTGTTAGTCTGTGTCTTTTATTTAGGAATTGGGTATGTTGATATTCAGAGCCATTTATGACCAATGATTGTTAATTCCTGTTAATATGATGTTCATGGTGTGTGTGTGTGTGTGTGTGTGTGTGTGTGTGTGTGTTTGTTTCCCTTTTGGTTTTTGCTGTTGTGAAACATTTATTTCCTTTGTTTCATGTGTGTAGTTAACCTCCTTGAGTTGGAGTTTTCCTTCTAATACCTTCTGTGGTAGGGCTGAATTTGTAATTAGATATTGTTTAAATTTGACTTTATCAAAGACTAGCTTGTTTTCTCTATCTATGGTGACTGAAAGTTTTGCTGGGTATAGCAGTCTGGGCTGACATCTGTGGTTTCTTAGAGTCTGCAGGATATTTTTCCAAGCACTTCTGGCTTTTAAAGTTTCCATTGGGAAGCCGGGTGTAATTCTAATAGGTCTGCCTTTATATGTTATTTAGTCTATTTCCCTTGAAGCTTTTAAGATTCTTTCTTTGTTCTGTATGTTTAGTGTTTTGTTGATTATATAGCAAGGGAACTTTCTTTTATAGTACAAAACTTTCTTTTATGGTGTTGTGTAAGCTTCTTGTACCTTTATAGGCATGTCCTTCTTTAGGTTAGGAAATTTTTCTTCTATGATTTTGTTAAAAATATTTTCTGGGCCTTTGATCTGAGAGTCTTCTCTTTCTTCTATTCCTATTATTCTTAGGGTTCATCTTTTTGTAGTGTCCTAGATTTCCTGGATGTGTTCTTATACTGACATTTAGGCATCTGAGTTTGGGGCAGATTATAGCTCTAGGTGCCCATTTCTGAGTTTGTCTTTGTTGTTTAGGTGTTTTGTTTCTTGGTTTCTGTTTCCCCTCTGGTCTTCTGGCTGGACTGGCCTGTGATTGAGTAAAGTTGGGGCTGGACTTCTGATGGCTGAGATGGCCTCTCTTTGAGCAGGGGTTCCTCTGCAGACTTGGAAGCTGGGATATTGTGATATGGGGGTGGGGTGGGGTGGTTGGGAGTAGACTGGATGGGCACTGAGTGGGGACCAACTACCTTTGGTTCTGGTTCTACCTCTGGTCAATTAGGGGGCTTGTGCTGGCGCTAGGGGATGGGATACTGTGACAGGGAGGGGAGGGGTGGTTTAAGCTATGTTAGACAGGAACTGAGAGAATGGAGTGGTTCAGTTCAACCTGGGGGAGGGGTGTGAATCAGAATCTTCTAAGTGCAGATAACCTCAGAATCTTTCTTTGTACTTAATGATTCTTTCCTACACAATATTCATTGAAACCCAATGGGGAAAAAAAAAGATTTTCCCATTGGACATTATTTTAGTTTTCTTTCTATTGCTGTGAAGAAATACTGACCAAAAGTAGCTCGGAGAGGAGGGGGTTTATTTCAGCTTAAATTCCATATTCCATCTTCAGGGGTTGTCAGGGCAGGAACGCAAGGCAGGGCAGGAACTGATGAAGAACTGTGGAGTGCTGCTTACTGGCTTTCTCTCCTTGGCTTGCTCAGCTTGCTTTCTTGTACAACCCAGACTAATCTGCTCAGGAGTAGATACTGCCTACAGCAGGCTGGGCCCTCCCATGTCAGTCATTTTTCAAAAAAAAAAAAAAAAAAAAAAAAAAAAAAGCCCCATAGGCTTATCTGTAGGCCCATTAAATGAAGATAGTTCGATGGAGATTTCCTCTTCCCAAGTAGGTCTTGGTTTGTACCAAGTTTATGAAAGTTATCACAGGTAGTAGCACTGTATTTAAACAAAATAATGGCTTGCCTTATGAACTTTGGCAAAGGTTAATGGTTATATAGTATTCTGGGTGGATCTGTCCAGATCTTAGCAGTGATGGAGAGGAAAATATCTGAATATGACAATTTTGTCTGTTTTGAAGAGGAATCAAAATCGGTATATATCACTAATAGTATATGACTACATTAGTATCTATTTATCTTTAAATTGCAAATTCAGTGTCATTCAGATTCAGAAAGTACATTTACATTTGAAAACCCTGCAGCTGTGGGAATAGCTATTCTGTGAGTATAAGAAAGTTTAAGACATGTGGAAGATGTCCCATCTGCAGACAGTGGCAGACCTGGAAACCATTGTAATTATAGTTCAGGGACACCAATAGATTTCAAAACATGATCGATGAGAGATGGATTATATTCTGTGACCAGCAGCCTGGTTACCATGTGAGCATTTAAACCCCAAACTGAAACGTTAATGTAGAGGATCACAACCCTGCTTCTCTTAGGTGCCTGACCAGAGATGAGTATCTGTAGAACCACAGAGCACCTAATCTCAGCAGACACACTGTGTTTGTCCAGACAGAGGGGTGTCAGGCATTTTCTGAGCAGGAGATGAAGCTATATCTACTTCAAAAATTTCCTGTGGAGGTTGTAATGAGACCAGCCCCATAAGCTCATATTCTAGCATGCTTAACCTCTAGTTGGTGAACTGTTTAGAAGGGGTTAGGAAGTGTGGCCTTGTTGGAAGAGGTGTGTCACTTGGGATAGGCTTTGAGGTTTCAAAATCCCAGTCTCTTTCTCTCTCCCTGCTGCCTGATGATCAGGATGTAGCTCTCAGCTACTTCTCCAGCACTGTGCCTGCCTGAGGTCATGCCTCCCACCATGACCATCAAAGATTAACTCTCTGAAACTGTAAGCAAGCCCCCAGTTAAATGCTTTCTTGAATAAGTTGCCTTGGTCATAGTGTCTCTTCACAACAATAAAACAGCAACTAAGGCACCCCCTTTATAGGATTTCTAAGTAGCAGGGAGACATCTCCAGTATAAGAGGTCCTAAGCCACTCCTGATTTGTGCCCTCCTTCCTATCCTCTGTTTGTTGGGGCTGCCCACTGTGTTCCTTCTGCAACTGTTATTTTGTTTATATTGTCAATGCTGTCTTAGACTGTTCAGGTCAAAACCTAGAGTGTGTTGATTTTTTTTTTTTCTGGCAAACTCCACATCAAACTTCTCAACAAATCTTTTGGGTTCTACTTTCAAGATATATCTAAGCTGGGCATGTGCCTCAGTGATATAACAGGTGCTCAGCCTGTGAGGCCCTGGGTTCAATCTTCAGCAGCAAAGAAAAATACATATATGCAAATGCATGCACACAGACACAGATATACATAGACACACACAGACTCACAGACACACACACAGCACACACACTCCAGAATTTGGCCAGTTCTCACCACTTCTGTTATTACGACTATCTTCTTTCTCTTGCATTATTATAATAACCCCATTCTACTAATCCCTACCCTTAGTCTTGCAGTTCTATAGAGTATTATAACACTGTAGGTAGGATATTTTAAGACAGGGAGAACCAAACATAATGGCTCATGCTTGCAATTTTAGCACTTGGGAAGCAGAGGCAAAAGATTGCTGTTAATTTAGGCCAACCTCAGGCTGATAGATGCTCTGTCTCAACAAACAAAACAAAACAGGGAGAAGGCATTTTAGAAGCCTGAATGACACTCTTCTCATTAGAGTAACAGCCAAGGCCTTCAGAAGAGACTACCTCCTGTGTCCCCCAGCAGGGTCACTGGTTGTATTTTTCTGTTACTCTGTCCCCTGCCCATTCTACTCTTACTGTATTGTCCTCTTACTGTCCTGGATCATGCCGCAAGAGCATCTGAAACGCCCTATGTACAATGTAGGTAGACCATCTTCCTTGTGAAGCCTTGCCGTGAACTCCTAGGAGAAACTAATAGTTTTCTCGGTGAGCTCTCCCACACCCAGTCTGCTAGGGCTAATAATTAAGTTGCATCTGCTTTATTTCCACCATAAAATTCATATTTTCCTAACTTAAATTTCCTTCCTCATTGTGTGTTCATTTTTGTATTCTCCCTAAAATGTAACTCAACACCGTAAGAACAGAACATTGGTTTGTCTTCTCTGCTACCCTGCCTCCTGCCTTGTGGTATTCCATCACTTCAGGCTGAATGAATGAACGAAGGTGGTCTCAGTTTGCAGATGATCAGTTCATGTACCCAGACTGCGTTGCTTCTTGTCTTCCTTGTACGGGATATGGAATCTAGGAAGGTCACTGCAGTGTCTCTCCTCTACAGTGAAGACGGTCATGGCTTCTCTCTCTGCAGTTGTAGAGACACTTAGTTCAGGGCAAGTTGTTCAAATGCGTTCACCTTATCACCAAAGCACCTTCCAGTGTGTCGCTGGAGGTCATTCTCGGTGTGATTTCAGGCAGCCTGTGTTGTCAGCATCACAGAGGTGTTTTTGTTATCAGGGGCTTTGTTTTTTCCCCCAATACTGTCTGGCTGTGTATGTCAACAACCAAGCTGTATCCTTGCCTGCTGTTCTTTTGAACATTTGATTTTTTTGTATAGCTCTCATGAATTTACCCAGGTGGGTCTTGAACAAGTGACCTTCTTGCTGTCACCTACAAGTCCTTGGGATTGCAAACTCATGTCACCACTTCCAGCTTCTGAGACTTGTTTTAATTTAAAGGAATATGCTGCCACTGTGGCCTGGGACTTGTTTTAAATATGGCTTCCAGAGTCCCAGCCTAGAAATCTGCAGAGGGTTCTTTGAGGCTTGCACTTTAACAGATACTCTCGGGTGGCCTTTATAAAGTAAGACTCAGAATTGCATGCTATAAAAATAATGGAACTGCTAGAGAATCCAGTCTTGAGCTTAGAATTCAAGATGAAAGGTTCTGCCTTTGAGGGGGTTCAGAGAAAGGGGACTTTGCCTCACAAAAGTGTGTGTATGTATATGTGTGAGTGTGCATGTGCATTCGTGTGTGTGTGTGTGTGTGTGTGTGTGTGTGTGTATGTATGTATGTGTGTAAGTGTGTGTGTGGTGTGTTTTGCCTGAACAATGTGCCATTTATCTGCTGAGGATGGATAGGTCTGGGAAATAAACACAGAAAGTAACCAGTCCTGTGCTACTGAGCCTAAAATGATCTTGCTCTGGTTGACACTTGATAGCTATGTCTAATTATTTTCTTGTACTTGGCAGTGGGATGTTCTATGATGGGAACCACACATATCTCATTGAGCCAGAAGAAAATGAGACCTCCCAAGTAAGTGCTCTGTTTGCCATGCAAATGTCAGCATTGGTGCTAAGACTTTTATTCTCCCTTCCTCTCTTTTTCACCCTTTGTTTATTTTTGTATTGTTAGGGCCAGGACAACACATACACACAAGCATGTACACACCATACTAGAGATCAAACACACACACACACACACACACACACACACACACACACACACACGATATTGAGTAAATCAAGCACACAGTTTTTAATTTTTAATTTTTCTTGACATTCCTCTCTTATGTTGGGAATGCTTTCCCTGAAGTGTGTTCTGAAACGAGCACTTCTCTCTGTCACATGATATGCCTTAGTTTAGACAACTGCACCAAGTATCATGACTGTGTGGCTTATACAACAAAGTATTTTCTCACAATTCTGTAGGCTGTGACATTAAAAATCAAGGCAACGGTAGGGTTGGTGTCCTGTGAGAGCTCTCGCCTTGACTGGTAGCTGGTTGCCTTCCTGCTGTATTTCTACTTGGAACATTTATTTGCTACAAATTAGGAAAGGATTGAGTTAATATTATGGACTACAATGCTCTTTGTTGCTCTTTGGCTGAGAACAATCTATGATAGCCTATAGGGAAACAATAGTTTTCAATCCATGCTTTGCATATACCATTGAACTTCATGTTTCGTGCAATGCTGGTCAAAATTTACAGAGGAGGTAATTTCCAGGAATACACATTGCTTTTTTTACCTGTTAAACAACCTGTTTGGGAAACCAACTTTTTTAAGACATTGTATTTAACTTACATACTATTACATTCTAATTTTTTTGGCACTTACACGAAGCCAGATGAAATCATTTGAATGCTTAATCATTTTGTTTAGAAGAAAAACTGTGGCATTATCTCCTGCCTTCTAGAACTGCCTATGTCAGGATTCTGGGCATTGCTTGTGTCTGTCATCTGCTTGCAGTCACCAGGAAAATTGGTAGCTTGGGTCACTGCCTATGTAAGCTACCTGGCTCTTAAAGTAGGGGCAGGGATCCATGAGAGGAGCAGTCATTAACCCATCTTCCAGGATGTCTTACCTTCCCTTGGGGAGGTCCATCCATTCATTTATTTTCCATTACTGCAGCTTTGGCTCCTCTGCCTTTGAGGCTTTTTGGTTGCAATTGGTGGCTGTAGTGCTTGAAGAATGCACTGCAGAGTGGGGCTGTGCAGTCGCTCATGGCCCCTTAAAAGACCTGGAGAACTTACAGTCCTCACTTCTCCAGCTATGACTGCCTGAAGCAGAGATACTTGCTTTCCATCTACTCAATCTCTGCTCTTTGTGTTATTTCAGGGGGAGTCTCATTTTCACTCGGTTTACAGATCCAGACTCTTTGAATTTCCCTCGGATGACCTTCCCACTGGTATGGTATTCATATTGGGAATTGCTTTTAAACAACAACACCGTAATTCAGTTACTACTTTCAAGCTAGTATATACGCTAAATAATAATTGACAGTTGCTCATGACATTTTAGAGGGACTGACTGTAAAGGTGTACCAAAGGAAAGAATAAAATGCAAACTGACTTCTTGTTTATAGTGGAGGATTTCAGAAAAATATGGCTTAAGGACGCAGAAGGAACATTTAGGAAATTAAGAGTCAGTGTTAGGGATGAGAAATAATTTTAGAGTAAAAATGGTAGACGATGTGAAAATCCATCCTTGTGAAATGATGGTTTTGTCAACACAGGCAGGAATCATCTCTATGTGTTTTCTTTTATTTTTGCTCTAGCATGTTAAGCAAAAGCTACAATTTAACCTTTTATATAATTGTTTGCCACTTGTGAAGTTAGAATGTATTTTCCTCTCATTTATGTGTATAGCTTAATTGCTGTAAAGATTGATTGCAGAGAACAGCCTCGTGTCATGTGACCAGTGCAGCTGACCTCAGTGCTAGGGCCCTATGCTTATGGAACATTGGTCTGTAGCTCCTTTTAGTTAACTTTTTTTTTTTTTTTTGCAATAGCGTTGTATGTTCATATAGCTCCTTTTGAAGACAAAGAACCAAGGTTTTCCAGGGTGCCCCAGCTACTAAAGGACAAGGATCATGACACTTTGAAATACTGCTGTGAGACACTCACAGGAAGATGTGATAGCATTGCCAGCCTAAAGCAAATCCCAAAGGACCATTAGAAAAGCAGATAATAGCTTCTATCTTCTTGTGAGAGAATGAAGTGAGCGCTACATTCGAAGGCTCCTTCCTCTCTGGATTAAGTTGTAACTCATTGGCCTCCTGTAGTTCCCTACAGAGAAATTAGCACTTTCTCCTTTGGGGACCAGGTGGAAGATCCTGTTGGATGGAATTCACTATTTTGGAGGCCAATGCTGATTGCTCAGTGGGTAATGGCACTTATCACCCAAGCCTACTGAGTCGCTTCTGTCCCCAGAGCGCACATGAAAGCTGGGGAGAACACATTCCACAGAGCTGTCCTCCACATGAGGCCTGGCACATGTGTGCCCCCCAGCCATTGCATACATGCAAAATAATACAATTTGAAAAAGAATCCACTACTTAGGAAAGTCTGTGGGTAAACATGGGCACTTTTACTCTACAGAATTGCTCACTGTCCTTTCAACAACTTTATAAAACTTTCAAATGCCAGTTATGGGAACAAAATTAATCATGAATGGCTGTGTGAGAGTAAAACTACAGTTTAATAGGTCTTACTGGAAGCAATCAGCATTGATTAATATTTAAAGTAAGAAAAATTTCCTACCAAAGACTTCAGTATAGGAGTAGTACAATGTAACCTTACAATTTTTTTTAAAAAGATGTTTGTTCAGATGTTATTTCTTTTTCAGAAATAATTGTGAAAGTGACTTGACATTCTTTCTTTCCTTTTTTCTAAGAGGGTCCAACTTTGTAGCCACCCTGGTCTCAAGCTTGCAGTGGTCTTTCGGTGTAGCCTCCTGAGTGGCAGGGCTGCAGCTCTGACTCTTTATGTTCGGCCTGTTTCTAGTTTTTTAATCAGCTGTTGCCACTGCCAGTTTTAAGAGTGGTGCTGTCTTTCAAGATTACTTATAATTTACTGTAACAAACAAGAAGAAAATAAGAGATAGTCAGAAGTAAGTTTTTTTTTTTTTAATTTTATTTTAGGTTCAATACCACCTCATCTTGCAAGGCATTGTCTATTTCCTAAAGATAGAAATATAATCAACATTTGCCAACTTTTTTGGTTATAGACCCTTTAATCTTATATGATATCTCTCAGGACAAAGGTCCCTTAGAACACATTTTGGAGGAAAATAAAAATCTTGTTTTCAGTGGATGTGCTGACACTTTAGAAATGGATATTTGAGAAACACAATCCCTGTGTGTGACTCATGGAGATCCAATGTTTTTATTGCCGAGACACCTCCTTGTGCAGTTTTGCTGCTATAATCTATTTTCTCTACTGACTAGTCTTGTCTTTTGTAGGACTTTAAGCATATGGAACCATGTACTGTATGTAGTTTCTTTTGCTTAGCATATGCCTGTGATGTTTATTTTGTCAAAAGTAGCAATCACTAGTTGATTTTATTATTGAGTGTATTCTTTGGTATGAATGCACTACATTTCTTTTTATTATGCCAATGGATATTCAGATTTATGCAGTTTGAAGCTACTACTAATAAGCAACCATGAACATTCTTGTATCTCTTTTCTTTTTCTTTCCATCCCCCTTTCCCTCCTTCCAGTCATTTCTTTTTTGTAGAGACATGTTTTGTTTCTTCTAGTAAGTACCCAAGGATGACCTTGGAAGCTGTATGTTTAGCTTGGGATGAGTGTCATAAAACTTCTGCCTGTGACCAAAAGAACTGGCAAGCTGGGAGCCATATATTGCTGACTCATCCCAGGGCTTTTAATTTTCTGTTTTGAGACTTTAGGTTTCCAGCATGTCCCCAGGTGATGCCCAAAGATTCTACTTTGAAAAGCATTGTTTTGTGAGAAGCTGTTGGATGGCTTCTTCAAATGGCTGATGTCATTCTGCTCTCAATAAGCACCATATGGCAGTAGGAATTACTCCAAAACTTCAGCACCAGATACTGAGGAATCTCTGTGGTGTTGTGGGGATTAGCCATTCTAGTGTACATGGTGCTGGGCCATTGTGCTTTCATTTGATGGTGTTTTGGCTGGTGATATGGAGTGTATGCTTACTAGTCATCAATCATATTTTTCTCCTGTAGTTACTGCTTTGTAGAAGGATTTACACATTCTACATTTGATCTTAGCCAAAAGTTTAAGAAGAAAAGTGATTACATAGCCTAGATATAAGGCCTTTGTCAGATACATTACTAACGCTGAATTATTTGAATTGCCATTAAGTATTAAAATGGGTTTTGAGGTATTTCTTACGTTGACTCTGCTCATTTAGCCACCCATGTCTATTTTTTGCTTACTGTGGCTTTATCATGTATTTTGAAATCAGGTAACATATATCCTTCAGTTTTGTCATTTTTCAAATTTATTTAGGTCTTCCTTTGCATTCTCATATATGTTTTAGAACCAACTTGCCAATTTCTGAACTTCTTCTTAGATTCTTATTAGACTATACCGAATGTTTAGATTAACTGTGGGAAAACAGACAGCTCAGTAGTGAGTCTTCCAGTCCATGGGGATGGCATAGATGTTTCCCCATATATTTAGGGCTTGTTGTTTGTTTTGCAGGAGGCCCTGGTTTAGTCCCTAGTACAAGAAAACAAAATGAATTCTCAGCCCTTTCCAGATATACTGAATCACAAAAGATCAAAGTAAATATGGAAGACATTTACAATTTCTGTTTTTGTTTGCCATTTTCAGTACAGAGGTTGCTGTGGATAAACATTTATTATCTCAAATTCCTGAGAGTCAGACCCAATTGAGGCTTAGCTGAGTGCCCATCACTGAGTTTTGTAGTGTAACAGTCAGCTGGAGTTGTAACTGCCTCCGAAGGCTCTAATAGGAGAGATTCCCAGCTAAGCTCACTCATGGGTGATTAACAGAAGTGCTATGTCCTTTTGGTGAACTGATCCTTTTATCATTATGTACTGTGACTCCTCCTTACTGAGATATTTATTGTCCTAATGTTACCTTTCTGATATTAATGTTTCTAAGATGCTCTTTATTAATTCTTTGAGAATTTCATACATGCTTATATTTGATCACATTCGTCCCCAAGTCCTCCTCCTAATTCCTCCCAGATCTGTCCCCATACTCCCTCCCAACTACTACTTTAAAATAATAACCACCAAGTTCAGTTTGTGCTGTTCAATACTCATGCATTTGGAACCAATCACTTTACAGCTAACAGCCACTTATGAGTGAGTACATACCATGTTTGTCTTTCTGGGTCTGGGTTACTCACTTAGGATGATTTTTTTATTTCCATCCATTTTCATCACTTGCTTCACTTTGTAGAACGTCCTCCCTTACAACTAACCTAGAATCCAGAGATGAATTTATCTGTATCCATGAATAGTTCATGTGTGGTTCTTACCTACAAATTGAGAGGGACTCAGATTGTCCCATTGCCCTGTAGTAGCAAAGAAGGCCATGGAGAAATTTTGTCTTTGGAAAAAGAATATCTATGAATTGGAAGCAATTGAGTCAAATTTTGATGTCCTGTATGGAATCCCTAATAGGTCACGTTAACAATGTCTTGTATTTGCTTCCATTTCTCCTCTTTGTTTTGCTGCCCCTAGAGAAGGTGAATGATGGAAGTGACAATCAGGTTGGCTACTTAGAAGGTTTTCGATAAGGAATGTGTTGGTATTCGTAGGATGACTATGAAAAAAAATGACATGACATAATGACAGGTGTGCTTGAGCTTTTCTGTATCGCATTTACCCATTAGATACTTTTTATGGTTAATACAACATAATTGCTTAATTTTTCATGTACTCACTAAGTAGGAAGAAAAACTAGTGAAATTTTGCCTTCTATGAAAGAAGTCTGGAAAACGCACTGTTTGTTTTCATTTCCTTGTAGAGTTTCAACGAGTCAATGTTACTCCACCAAAATTTATCTTGAAGCCAAGACTAAAGCGGAGTAAACGGCAGGTATGTTTGCAGGTGTAAGCTGTGATATTTAGAATACTTGGCAACCGGTAATGGTTTGAGTCTACAGTCAGAGTGTAGACATTTGTGGGTGTGGGTACACAGAACAGGAGACAGCTGCATGAAAGCAGAAACAGGATGCATTATTTTACAAGTAGTGGCTAGAAGATGGAGGAATATGGAGTCCTCATTTCCATGGGTTATGGGGGTCTCTGCTTGAAGCAGGGTTTCTTCTCTTGCTCAGATATGAACCACATCATGTGTCTTGTTTGCTATTCCTGACAGGCTTTGAAGCCACAAAATGCCTTTTTCTCACTTGAACTGCCTTGGATATAGTATATGAATGAGGACATAGCTTTAGGACTGTTCAGCTGGACATTGTGTTAATAGCAACTGTCCTTAAGCTACTGTTCTTTCACGTGGCTCCCACATCTGGTGATGACTTGCCCTGTGCCGCATAGTTGACAGATGGCCTGGAATATAGAGATCTGCCGTCAGAATCAACCCATCACAATCTTGGTGGTTTGTGGGTATATACGTGTGCATGTAGCATAAGAAAGCACCCAGGGAATGAAATAGATGGTGATTAAAGTGAATCTGTTAAAGGCTGTGTGAAGTACTTGTTTTATAGAGAGGACAGGGCAATACTCATTATCCGTGAGATTGTCCCTCATTCACATGTCAGCATCTCGTCACCGACCAGGATCAAACCTAGCAATGCTCACATGCCAAGCAAGTGTAATGGAAGCATAGGCCTTAGTAATAGTTATTGGGGAGGGTGAAGCAGAAAGGCAATGATAGAGCCTATACCTACCGATAGAGCAAGCTCAAGTCCATATTGTAAGCAGACTCTGTTTGTAAAAGGGCTGTGTATATAGCTTAGTGGAAGAACACTTGCTTGGTTTGTGAGCTGTTTCATTCCCTTTTGTTTGACTTGATCTCTCTCTGTGGCCCAGAGTGGCTTCAAATTCACAACATTTATCCTGCCCTAGTCTCCCTAGTGCTGGGATTACAGGCATAGGCTTCCATGTCTGGGAAAATGAAATATAGCTTCAAACATATTTTTGTGTGAATTATAGTTGCTAATATTTATTGAAAACTCAGCATGTGCATGTCCATTTTATAACAATTTTAACTGTTTAACTGAAGGATTGGACAGAATGTAAACACTTTTGCTCCTCATGATGTCCTTATGAAGAAGGCAGTGTTATGATCCCTATTTACTGATAAGGACAGGACTCACAATGTTCAAACAGGAGCTGGGATTCTCATAGAAAGTCTGGTTGCACAGGTGTCTCTAGCTGCACACACTCTCTGAACCACTCCTCAGAAGCCAGTGTGTTCAACAAGCCACTACCACAAGCTTGAAATACATTCTTTAGACACAGACACATGGATGTCTTAAGTTAAATGAAGGTAAAAATAATTTCTATGAAGATTTAATTTACAAAGTTGTTTATTGTTACGAATCCTGACCTGAGAGAGTAGGAGAAATATCTTAACACTTACCTTGAAGTTCTTTCAGAAGCATCTCAACATCTTGTCATTGGCTAAAAAGGAGAACACTTCACTTCTTTATGAAGCCATAAAATTGAGTTAGTGTGATACTATGTCCAAATGCAAGTGCCAGGCATTGCCAAGTCTTCTCAGTTAGCAAGGGAGGTCTTGTTGTTTAGTGGGAACCATTTTTTTCTTGCTTTTGAAGATTGTTGTCATTGGGTGCAATTTAGTTTTCCTGTTTGGTTCTTAAATACAAAAAAAGTCCATTATTCTCTATGAAACTAGAGTTTTAAGAGTCTTAAGAGTCTTTTTTTGTTTTAAAGTCCAGAGAATACATTTAGAAAGAGACAAAAATCTATGAGGCAGTGTATTTTTAGTTTGTTTAAAATGTAACACTCAGACATATGTGTATTGATTCTGGTTTGATTTGATGGTGTGCCCTCATCACAGAAATAGTCCTTGGGCAAGTGAACAAGATTTACTGGGGGGGGGGGTCGATTGAACCATGGCATAAAAGAAAAGCCAGTTTCACAGATCTTGTTAATGACTGGGTGATGGATGTGCAGAGGGGATGGCTGCCCATAATATTGATGGATTGTGGTTTTGAAAGAGAGGAGAATTTGTTGTTGAGCAGAGAGATGCATCAGGTAAAAATCTTCCATGACTATTTGGGAACTTCACCACTATGCTGATTACACCCCTGGTGCTTGCGGGGAACCCGTGAACCACACCAGAGGAAATTCATGGCCACTCCTAGACGTGGAGATGACTCAGAAAAGAGCCAGTCTCCTCGCTTTCAGTGCTCTGCTTATGTTACTTTCCATGCCACTGTTAGATAAAAATGTTTTGATGAAGACAAATACATAGGTTATGTATTTAATTGTATTTGTCTAAACATTTTGGTGAAATATAATAGTAATTTGCTGTACCCCGTGGAAGAAGGGAATAGAGTCAAGAGAACAATTTCATCCTTGATGTTTATTCTTTCTTTATTTTTTTCAAACCATACACATTTTTCAGGTTTTTTATTTTTGTTGTTGTTCAAAAATACCATATGTACAAATATTTTGATGTACAAATATTTTGGGTCTACAGTTGTTAAAAAGAAAACTTGAAAGCTATGTTTCAGTGGAGTATTTAATTTTTAAAGTAACACAAGATAGAGGAGTATAAGTACCTCCATGATTGATTGTATCTTTCAGCAAAGAGAACAATGTAGAAGAAGGTTGACTATTGAAAAAATCCACCACTCCCAATGATCTATATAATGTCTTCATACTCTATTGGCTCCTTTTGGATCTGGTTTGCTAAGCAAACCACTAAGATTAAATTATGATTTAAATAACATAATTAGTTCCAGCACTGTGTCAGGCTTGAAGGAGGAGTCAATCTACCACATTGAGATTGAGAGTAATAAAATCTTGCCCTTCAAATGCAAAATGCTGTTTCATTCTGCTCCACCATGGGTATGTCTGCAGCTATGCAGCTTTGTGAAAGCTATGGGGAGTGCAACAGAGTTGCAGTTCATTTTGCCAGACATCACATAAACAAGTAGCAGCCAAGACTAGTCACTGAAATATAAAATCCAACCTGATCAACTGGTTTAACTTAACTCTCTCTTCACTCAGTTGCCTGGAGTCCCCAAAGATTCTGAATCTTCAAGATGAACTTAGGCACAGTACCTGTGTCCTCACAGAGGAAAGATATTTAGCATTTTGGAAAAGGTTTCTGTATTAACTAATTTATAGAGTTATAGATTACTATTGTTTAAAAGATCGACATTCCTAAATGTCTGGAGCTCCTGCACTCAGCTTGATGTACTGGTTGTCAGGTTAGCGGAGGAGAGCTCCAGGACATAGAGTATTGGTACACTCTAGTCCTTAAATAATTTGCTAAATCGTGCTAATCACACTTTGCCACACTTCACACATTTTCACTCTTCTCTACAATGGCTTGGCTGCATAGTGGGCCTAAGCTCCCTTTCCTTTAATCTTTCTTCAGCCAGGCCTTTCTTTGCCTGCCTGGTTGTAGCCTCTCTCCTAATCTCCCTCCAGCCAGGCCTTTGCCTGCCTGGTTACAAGGCTCCATACACTAAAATTCCCCACTACTCTTATAACACTAGTCTATCTAATTCAACCCTGATTTTTTTTTTAAACCATTCTAGTATTTACTTAAACTCTTCTGAAAAATACAAAGCCAACTCCATATTGTTCTTCTCTTTGGGAGATTTAAGGATCGTCTTTAGCTATTTTGACATTCCTCCGGGGTACATTTCAGCTGCATCTTTGTCTCTTTCAATGTGAACATGTATTTAGATTATGCTTGTACAGAAAACAGTTGTGTACTTAGTTGTTTCTGTACCTTGCTCTTTTCCTCGTCTCTGCCCCTGGTGCTTAACTCCTTTCCCTCTTTACTCCCAGTGGTCAACGTTTGCCCTCCATGGAAAGCCTCCCTGTTTTTCTTACAATTCTCAGATCCATACACATTTTTATCTACTCAAAAACTAAGAAAATTGATGAGAGTTTAAAAGTTAATGCTGAAGTAAAAAGGAAAATTTTGTTTCATTGATTTCTTTCGTGCTTTTAGTTTTTGCAGCTAAACTTAGATGTTTTGTCTTCTTTCTTTTCTTTTTTTCTTCACTGTGTTATAGCTTCTTCGACTTCCCCGTAATGTAGAGGAGGAAACTAAATACATCGAACTGATGATTGTGAATGATCATATCATGGTAAGATTTGCCACCCCCTTTCCTTCTATCCTTCTTGCCCCTAGCTGCTGTGTAAATACTATGTTTAAAAGAAACAAAAACCTCATCAAATTTTGATGTGGAAAAGCCACACACACACACACACACACACACACACACACACACACACTTTGGGAAGCCCGGACACAGACACAATTTTATTAGACTTTAAGATAAAAGCACCCATGGCAAACAGGTTGTAAGTATTGGCAACTACCTAGTTGGGCTACCTATTTAGAGGTCTACCATACACAGCCTGTCTAGAGATCTACCACATGTGGCAAGCAGCCACACAACGAGGACAGGAGCTTTAGAGAAGACGAAAGCCCAACTAAGCATATTTTTGACCAGGAGCAACTTATAAGTAGAAAACATGCTTAGGTGTAAGTAACTAGCAATTGTCATGAGGATCCAAAAACACTTCTTTTTAAAGATATTTTTATATATTAGCTATATATGATAATGAACTTGTTAGGACATTTTCATGTGCCTGTAATGCGTTTTGACCATAGCTACCTCTTCATCTCCCCATTATCTTCTCTTGTTATCTTTCCTGTTATCTCTCTCCTGCTAAGCCCCTTCTTTTCTCATCTAGCCTGTTTCTACTATTTCTGTGACTTTTGGGGACCCAATGTATTTCACTAGGGGTGTTCCCAGGAACATGGATAAGAGTTTGTTTCCAGGAGCATGGGCTCCTTATTCACAGCCTCCCCTCAGTGCTTTGGGTTTTATGTGGTAAAGCCTTTTAGAATACCGAGTCCAAGCAAACCAAACATGTAACCCACATTTACTCTGAACCATCTCCTTGTGATTTGTACCTTAGGGTTTCTTCTTACTCCAGAGCTGTGAGGAACTTGTAGTCTCACACACAGCCACATCCACATTGACTGTCTTTGGTCCCGTCGTCTCACTTTGTATGTCTTACAGTTCATAACAGCTTTCAAATGAACAACCCCAAAATGAACCTGTGCAGTGGATGGGGTGGGTTCTTTCTTAAATATGGGGAGGGGTGAGATAGGGATGAACCCAGAACCTTGTGTGCACCAAGCCGTATATATTATACGCTCTATTCTAGCCCCTTGATGTGGAACTTACTGAGCTTTGTCTCTCGGATGAGATAAAGTCATCGTTACCTTCAGTCCCCAGCTTTTAGGGGATAAAGAAAAGGCAATACCCTGAGGTTTTTTGACAGAAAGCCTTAGGAGTTTTTTTCTGATATTTTGTTTTCTGTCCTAAGATGATTATGTCTTGGTGACTTTAAACATCCTTCACTGTTGTCTGTTGCTTTCAGTTTAAAAAGCATCGGCTTTCCGTTGTACATACAAATACCTATGCAAAGTCTGTGGTGAACATGGCAGATATGGTGAGTACCAACCCATTCAGCATTGCCCCTTATTGCTAGGAGGTGGGTAATAGGGTGCCTGTATTCACATTCCTCCAAGTTACACTTTAGCCAGGACGACCTCAGAGACCCAGTGACTTTGTCAGGGACTCAACTGTCTAGGCTGTCTGGGAGGGTGGGCTGCCCAAAGATATGGTTGCACTTTTTTTCTTGTGTGTTTCCCACTGTAAAAGACAGAGCTTGGTCCATAGACTTTAGCAAAAATGCTCACAGTGTACATAGGGACATCAGTGCAAAGACAGGGCAGGAATTGCACCTCTTCCGCGTGGACAAGCTCTGATTGGCCAAACTCCCAACGAATTTTCCCTAAGCTTTCCTCAACATTGTGCAGGCTGTGTAGCATTCACCGCCTTAGAGAACCTTTATTGTTGTGCTTTCTTATTAGAGAAACTCAAGATTTCATAAATTATTTATCTGGGATACCAAGAATGGACTTGGGGAAAGCCTTGTGTTGAGCATAAGTAGTTGTCAAAAGAAAACCCCGTTTGTAATTTTGCTTTGTTCAGTGGGTTTTCCTTGGCTAATAGTTTGACTCTCTGTTCTTTAAGGGAAGTGCATTCAAATTAGGAAAGTAATGACCTCCTTTAAAAACAGTTGTTTCTTTAATTAAAACAAAGGCATTTCCAGGAACGGAACTTTGTGGTGCTTCATAAAATGACTTTAGCACATTTGTAGAGATGCGTTCATTTCCTTAATGCCCTAGATCTATAAAGACCAACTTAAGACTAGGATAGTGTTGGTTGCCATGGAAACCTGGGCTGCTGACAACAAATTCGCCATTTCTGAGAACCCACTGATCACCCTGCGTGAGTTCATGAAATACAGGAGGGATTTTATCAAAGAGAAGAGTGACGCGGTCCATCTTTTCTCGTATGTAACTTTTTAAATACTTTTACTTTCTCTGGTTCCATGTCGAATGTTCTCTTCTTTCTGACTGAAATGTATCCTTCTTCGATAATGCAATTATTATGTGATGTGGCTGTGCATTTGGAAGAAGTTTTTAAATACAGATTGTTTGACATTTTCCTGAGGTTTAAGTGACCTAAGTTATTATTGCATGTCTATTTCCTTAGCTTCCCAATGTGTAGTCAGAGCATCTGCTGAGTAAATACACTGTCATTCTGTACAGAGATTCCCAGCAAATCTTTATATTCTTTTAAATTGGCACTTCTTAATGCCACTGCTCTCCCTGGTTTGGGTTCCGAGGTTAGAGCTAAGCAAGTTTCTGCAATTTGTTGTCAGTTCTCTCATGCCTGTGTTCTTCCTTTTAGTGATGCACGTATTTATATAACAGTCAAGTATGTGCTGTAGATTTTTTAAGGCCTGATCTAAATCAGAGCTATTGGGACAGCTGTAAGTAGACATGAAAGATGCATTTTGGGTGGTTATTTTTAATTTTTATCTAGTTTTAAATGTAGAGAAAAGATGCAGAGTGACATAAGGGAATTTACCTATGCACTTCACCCAAATTCAAGATGTGCATTTTTTTTCTCATTTCCTGTTCAAGAATGAGTTGGAGACAACCAGTTTGCATTTACTACTAAATACTTGAGTCATCCAGTGTGGTCTCTTAAAAATAAAGACATTCTTTTAAATAACATGGTAAATCGTTAAAAACAATATTTAACACCATGTGATATTCTTTCATAGTTCATAGTCCGTGTTCAGACTTCATCAGTTGCCTTAATGACTTCCTATAGCTACAGTTCTTTCTTTGAGCGTTCTGTACAGTGCCACACAGTGTGTTCAGTTTTTGTCTCTTTAGTTTGCTTTAAGCTGAAGTTTTTCTCAACCTTTGTCTTTGTCAAACTTGATATTTTTGCAGGAATGTCTGATACTAGATCATTGATTATATTTAAGTCATTTATTTGGGCTAAATCTCTTAAAATTAATTTTTTTGTATTCTCAGAAAGCATCATGTCTGCAATTGATTTTTAATAGATGTATTTCCATATAAGATATGTATTGATCATTTGGGGAAGCAGCCCTCAGAAACAAACCTTTTCCTTTGATCATGCATGTAAATAATTTTCATACTCCTTCTTTGCCTTGGGAATGAATTGTATGCACTGGGAAAAATAAATGTAGTAAATTAACTATGAGAAGAGCTTGGCTGTTTGAACTGTGAGCAGTAAGCATTTTTCATTTCCTTTTCTAAAAGGGGAAGTCAATTTGAGAGTAGCCGGAGCGGCGCAGCTTACATTGGTGGGATTTGCTCGCTGCTGAGAGGAGGAGGCGTGAATGAAGTAGGTGTGAACATCTGTGCAATACAAAGTGGTATGATGGCGGGAAACGTTTTCTAATACTTCAGAAGCAATTTTTCAGTAGTCCGCAGTCTCCAGCTGCTAGATTGCTTTATTAGTCATCGATACAGTTCCTGTGTTGCCCAGAAGATAGAACAGGGAGAAATAAAATATAATATCTAATGATTGAGCTCATGTTCTGCATAGAGTAATTTCCAAATTAAACAGTTCATATAGAGAGAATCTGCACACTAACTTCATTGAAAATGAGAATAAAGCCCAAGTTAACATTGTTGAATGAGGATCTCTCCACATTGAGGAATCCCTGAAGCACTTGCTTGACACCTCCCAACCCCACTGGATGTTGTCTTCTTTGGTCCTATTTGACAAATTTGGGGAGAATGAAAAAGCAAAGGCAGGTTTCCTGGAGAAGGGTTCACTCCTAACACACTAAACTTAGTGGAAACCATGTAAGGGAAAGTACTTCAATCTTTGGAAGGCCACACAGTGAAAAATGAAAGATTCTGTTGGCCACAGACCTCCTCACTTCCTGACTCTCACTCATTATGTTTGCTGCAGCTGCTTTCTTCTATTCCACTCAGGGAGAAAACTAGTCCCAGATAATTTGACACACTTAGCTTTGTTATGTATTATTCAGAGTATAATAGTATATACTCATTAGGATTTTCAGGGATGTAATCAGGTGAAATTTTGATTCAGAATTCTATTTAAGTTTCCAAACTACAAAATAAATACTTCTCTGGCTCATAATCTTTCTTCTAAGGCTTAGTCACATATGGATTTGTTTCCTAGACTTCATCCCAAATGCATGTTCAATACTAGCTACAGAATGCTTATATTCAACTAAAGAGAATATTTAGGGCATGGTAGTGCATGCCTATAATTCCAGCAACATGGAGACTGAGGCAGGTGGATCACCATGAGTTGGAGTGGAGGTAAGCCTAGGCCACATAGAGGGGCTCAGTCTCAAAAACATAACACACAAAAGAGGGAAAGAAAATGCTTAGAAATGATTTGTTTTCGATTGTTCCCTACCCATTTTCTCTAGCCTATCTTAAATGGAAAACAATATTCACTTATGTTTATTTTGGCTTTGTTTTTCAGTTTGGAAAAACCGATTTGATGGCAGTTACACTTGCTCAGTCGTTAGCCCACAACATTGGTATAATCTCTGACAAGAGGAAATTAGCAAGTGGTAAGTTTTAATCCTGTGTGATCTAGTTGCATTTATTAAGACATACAGCCTGTTAAATATTTTGTAGAACGAGATTCTTTTTCACTCAGTTGCTTCATCAGGATTGTGGGAGGTACAGAAAGATATGCAAACCTGCAACAAAATGTTGCTTTCAAAAGTAATAAAGGGAATATTTTCATTATATGTGAAAAGTTCCCCTTGTAAGATGAAATAGATGAAGGCAAGGCTGGATTTTATTCAACAAGAGACAAAGGTAGCTCATTTTGGAAATTTGAAATTTGCTTGTGGAGAATTCTAGGTTGTTTGGGGCTCAGATTATGTGGTACTATGGTTTACTTAATGTGTATGGCCCAAAACACACAGCTTCCTTGTTGAGAGTGGATCTGATGAAGGGCCTAGGAAAGTGTAGATCAACTAAAGTAGCACCCAGGAAAAAGAAATTTCCAAAGTAGGTAAATGTACTTTTCTGTGAATGGTCTCATACTATGTATTTGAGGTTGAAATTACTGCAGTTACTTTTAATTAATTTAATGAGAAATATTATAAATATGGATACTTGTAATAAGAATACCATGTATGGAGAGCTATTATTTCCTGAGTGATGGAATGACGTGTTATACATATCCACCTACTCATCTGGGTTTCAAGATGATCCTGCAGGATGCCTATTCTCAGTCCTACTTTATAGATGAAATGACTAGATCATAAAAAAGGATATTGTCCTTAGGATTAAATGTGTACTAGGTGACAAGCTAGGTTTTCAAGCCAGGCAGTCTCTGATTCTGGGGACTTTCTGCTTAATCAATCAGAATTCTCTACTGCCTTCTACCAGAGGCCTCAACACCAGGGATTTTAGGAGCAGGAAGACATTGCAGTATTCCCCACAAGCTGGTGAAGCTGGGGAGCCTAGCGAGGTGCCACTGTTTTTGCTCTTTCTTTGATATTTGATTGTCTTTCACGTAGCTATTTAAAGCGAGCAGTTTAAAAATATGACCATTTGTGAAGAACTGGGGCAAAGTATATGAACCCCCCGGGATCAAATTATTTTTTTTAATCCATTGCAGTCAACACTTTTAATGTAAGTGGGATTAGAAAGCAGCCTTTAGCGACCACTTTGAACACAGAGTTAAGATACAGCAAAAGCTGCATCCGTGCAGCTGCGTTCAGTTTGTAACAGGCTGTGCCTTGGTTTTCCTCTAGGCGAGTGCAAATGTGAGGATACGTGGTCGGGATGTGTGATGGGAGACACCGGGTGAGCAGCTTCCACTTGACCTTCTTGAGAATGTGGCCTCCATAACATAGTGTACACACTACAGGCACCGTGAGAAAAACCAAAAGGAAATGTTCTTGATGGACCTGCATGTGAAATATTTTTGTGAAGTAACCTCGTATTTAAGACAAAATAGAACAAAAATATTTGAAGCTAATGAGAAGACCCTAGGAACTTTTTCAGTCTTAGTTGTAGGTAGGATTGTAATGGGGTAACAACTTTTTTTCTGTGAGGTCTGCCTCCTGAGTCCCTTTTCTTTTATCTCCTTCAGCCCAACTGCTAAATTGACCCTCAAAATGAAACAAACAAAACGAAGCTCGTGTTTGTAGCTTTCTCAGGTCCACGTTGATGATGGTGGTATGGTTTCATAGTGCAGTGCCATTGAACAAGGGGTTGGGCAGAAAAATGGAGACTTAGCTCAGAAGGATTTCATTTTTATACTGTCTTGTCTTCACACAGTCTGACTTCAGTTCTGGTCTTTTTTTTTTTTTCCCCTAAATAAATTGTTAGAACTATTCCTTCTGTTCTAGACTTACTACTCTGCCCTGCTCTAGAGTTTGTGCTATTATTATTTCGGTGCCATTCCACACACACAGGCTTCTGTCAGGCTTCATGTTTTACCTCCTGCTTCCAGCAGCCTCAAAGGCCTACGGAGAAGAAAACAGTACACACTCGAATCCCAGCTTTCCCAAGGGAGGCATGCCCTCCATCCTCAGCAAGGCAGCTTCCTTGGGTTTTGGTTATAATTCATGGGTCTTTTCTAATGCTCTCAGTCTTCGCATATGTAAGGTAACATTGCTTTACATGCTTGTGATTCATGAGATGTCTCATAACATTATGTTTTCATGTCTTATCGTTCTTGGATAACATTATACTTGTCAGATTAATCCATGCCATCAATTTGCAGCGTTTGTTTACTAAATACCAATGTGCTGCCCAGCTTGTGAATCTCAACTGTATGAAAAATAAATTTTTGCCAGGTATAGTGGTCCAGGCCTGTAATCCCAGAATTTGGAAGGTGGAGGCAGGAGGATCAGTAGTTACAGGTTGTCTTCTGCTATATTGTGAGCTGGATGCCAGCCAAATATACATGAGGCCGTCTCATAAAACAAGTGAAAAAGAATAAGGTTCATATTTCTTACTTTATTGTTAACTATCCATGTCTTTATTCATCATTTCCCAGTATTCTGTTGTTCTGTTATCATAATTGCTTTTTTGATTTGCTAAGCATAATCCTACATGGATTTTTAGCTTCTCCAAATTTGCTTATTAGGGTTTTATTTGAATTTCCAATTCCTTTTGATCTCCAGCATAAGCTATTTTTCTTGGAGTGCCTTCTTCTGTTTTCTCGATCCAATCACATTTCTAGCCATCTTTGAGGGTTAGCATTATTTTAACCGATGCATGATAATTTTTGTATGTGGTGTATATATGTGTAGGTGTGCCCAAGTGTACATGAGAACATGGAGACCAGAGGGCACCATTGGTTGTCTCCCTTTATTGTACTTTGCCTTCTTTGAGGCAGGCTGTCTCATTGAACCCAGAGCTCATCAGTTAGGCTGGTTGGTTAGTCACCTCCAGAGATCTACCGTGTATCCCCCGGTGCTAGTTACAGATGGATGCTGCTGGCCGCAGCGTTTACATGAGTGCTAGAGATCCACACTTAGGTCTTCATGCCTCTTCAACAGGCGCTTTACCACCTCAGCCGTCCCCCACAGTGCAGCAGTCTCCCTGCATTGCAGTTTAATTCTGTATATACATACTATCCCTCAACATTCAGTCATGCATGCTTAAAGAATTATATTTTTACTAAGTTTTATTTTATACCTCATACCTCTTTAACTAGACTTGATAATAAATATTTATTGATTCAGTTTGAATTTTGAACTCTAAAGATAACAAGGACAATAAGTGATGGGAGGAAGTATATATACAAACATGTTTATAAAGTATTTTAAGCATTTTTCTTTGTATATGTTGCTCATTAATGACAAAGTTTGTAATTGCAATTTTCTAGTTATTAACATATGTCATGTGTGGTTCTTTTTCACTAGTAGCTTTATTTAGTATAGGCCAGGTGTGGTAGCACATACCTTCAATCCCAGCGCTTGGAAGACAGAGGTAGGTAGATAGATTTTTGTGAGTTGGAGGCTAGCCTGGTCTACATGGCAAATTTCAGGTCACCTGCAACTAAACAGTGGAACCATGTCTCAAAATTTGTATTTAATATATCTGATTATTTTTATTAGTGACATAAAATTTGTATAGACAATCCCTTTAGTATGAAGCACAGTTACAGAGAAATCAAATAGTCACTTTAAGATAGATAGATAGGTAGATAGATATCTTTTTCCTTGAAATTTGACATCCTTTGAATGGGTACACTCAAGAGAAGACCCCTTTGTGTAAGTGTTACCTGCTATGGCTCTTTATTTTTTCCCTGCTCAGCATCACCTGTGTATCCCATAGGGACATGCCCTCACTTTTGCTTCCTGAAGTTCATTGGCACTGTTAATGTTGGAAACATGGTTGAACTTAAGGATACGTTGCATTTCATACAGTACCCTACAAAATGGAAGGCAAACTTCTGTGACCTACACCCTTAAACTGTTGATATATAAAACAGATTCACTGTTGAAAATGTGGAAGATTTGTTTCCCATCACTACTGAGGGCTGAGGGCTGTTTTCCTATTATACAGTGTGTAGGATTCTGGGCTAGGCTGTGATCCCAGTGAGTACATTTGCAGGACTAAAGTCACAATAGATTGTTTTCCACCCTGAGGCAGAGTCTCATGTATCCCAGGCTGGCCTTGAATTCATCATCCTCCTGTCTTACCCCTTGAGGTCTGGGATTTCAGGCATGTGCTGCTGTGGCTAACTTAAACAAAACTTTGACATCTAAGGTTGCACTGGGGGCCAGTCCAGCGTTGAACAGTAGAAGAAACAGGGAACTTGGAGGAAGCCCTACTTATAATGGGTTATCTGACAGAGACGTGTGGGATGGACTAGAAGGGAAGGTGGTAAGAACACCTGTCAGAACTCTGAAGGAAAAGGGAAGAAGAAGATGAAGAATCTTTTCTTGTTAAAAATAGTTTGTCTTTTTAGGAAAAGGGAATGAAGGAATTAGAATAGTTTAGATGACTTATAACAGTTACAACGTCATTTGGGAAGTATTTTAGTAAAAAGTAAAATTAGTTTCAGCATATAACAATAAATTATAGTAGTTAATTTGTGAAATATTAACTACTATGCTAGAAAGAAGTAACACTATGGGTAGAAACAAGTCCTTGAAGCCTGGGGAGAGAGCGTTAATCACATGTGTTCACTGTCTAGGCACAGTGGGGCAGCTGCGATCCTGTCACGGGAGAGATGGAGATAGGATTGTCAGTGCAAGCCAGTGTGGACTATGTAGTAAGACCTGTCTCAAAAAATTAAATAAATGAAAGCTATTCGTTATTACCTTGTTTTTCCTTTTAAATAAAATTTCAATGGTAAGACACATTTTGAAATATAAATATAAAAATAAAATTGACATCTTCTTTCTCCAGTGGTAGTCTTAGTTGATTTTTCAAAGTTACTGCATTTTAATTTCTATTTTTATTGTTTTATAAATTTTGGCTCCTGATAGATATATAAATTTCATTTTACAGTTAACACTGTAATGAGCAGCCATCATTTCCGTAACTATTCTTCAAAAGTGTGACTATTAATAACTCTATGCTACTCTAGTCTAATCACCTGTCAAGAGTTTGGTTGGCTATTCTCTTATTAGTCAACATCTGCGTTGCTTTCATGTTCTTTGCTATTATACACTATGACACTGTAAGTGTTTGTGCATATAGCTAACTATTTTTGTAAGAAAAAAAGTCTAAAACCAGGAATTGCTGATCCAAAGGTGTGGGTATTTTGAGGAGTCTTAATATATATTGCTAACTTCTTATATCGCCACATTTCTTTTTTTCCTCTTAACCATTTATTACTTTTTTCTGTTACATAAACAATTAAAACAATTTCAAACTTCAGAAAAAGTCCCAAGATTAGTAAGAAAAGAAAAAAAGAAAAGGTACTCTGAATCATGTTGCTAGTTTGGTGCTCAGTCACCCTCACCTTTGGGTATATTTCCTATAATAGAAACCTTCCAACCAGCCAGAAAAGACCCAGGAAATTGTGCAGTTCCCCACATTCAGGACTGACCCATATACCAGAAACATCATTTACAGCTGAAGTTTCAGAATGAGGCTTAATTTTTTTACATACCTTCAGACTGGAACAATCCCTGGTTTTGTCTGATGTTTGAGTTGTAGCTAGTTGTATATTATTCTTTTTTTTTTTTTTTTTTTTTTTTTTTGGTTTTTCGAGGCAGGGTTTCTCTGTGGCTTTGGAGGCTGTCCTGGCACTAGCTCTTGTAGACCAGGCTGGTCTCGAACTCATAGAGATCCGCCTGCCTCTGCCTCCTGAGTAGTTGTATATTATTCATTCATTATGAAGTAACAGTTTATTGTCTTTGATGTAAATCATAGGCACTCTATGTTTCTATATTTTAACTTATATGCAAATAAATGAACAATCAATAGCCATTATACATCACTAAATGAAACCCTTAGGAATTTAATGGTTGACAAGGATGTGTAATTTTAACACTGTTCTAATTTAAGTCTAGCAAAGAAACAAGGAATACTAACACTGTACCGGAGGCCTACTTTCTGTCACTTTCTGTTGCCTACAGCTATTATCTCCCCAAAAAGTTCACTCAGTGCAATATTGAGGAGTATCATGACTTCCTGAATAGTGGTGGTGGTGCCTGCCTGTTCAACAAGCCTTCTAAGGTAATGAGTGTGGTCAAGACTTATTATTTATGAATCATTGCACACTTTCATAAACACCAACTTTTATCTGCTGAGTCTACAATTTGGCCTGATGGGCATATTCTATATATTCTATATATGAAGATTTCAAGGCCAGCTTTAATCTGGGACATGTGAGGGTATTTCTGATGGGATAGCTAGCAGGCAGAAATGAGTGGGGGTTTGGTTTGTGTTGTTTTCTTTCACCCTTTCTAGTTACAAAAGTATGGGCTTGTATTTTCATTTGGTAATGTGAAAACTTTGGCTAACTTGTAAATGAATATTGCACAGCTAGCTATTAGTAATTACTGAGCACTAATGTTGCACAGCACCAGAGGATAAATTATATTCAACAGACAAAAAATGATGAAAGTTAAGAGGTAAAATAGGCCTAAAATCTCCCCTTGGTAGGTCAAAATTGCTTTAATTATAGGAGCTACTTGTTACTACTCTCCCTGCAAATCTGGCTCATGGCTGTAGTCATGGTTTATATGCAACAGGTCCATGGGCATAGTAATTGTGTCATCACTTTCTAATCTAAAAGTAGCTTTGTTCAAGGAGCAGATTCAGACTGTTGGGAGGCAGGCACATGCCTGCAGTTTCAGCACTCTGAAAGTTAAGCTAGGAGGAACAACGTGAGTTCAAGGTCAGCTTGAGCTACACAGCAGGCCAGCTTGGGATACACAATAAGACCTTGTCTTAAAAAAAAAAAAAAGAGAAAAGGGCAATGCAGTCTGAAATGCCAATGTGAGACCCATTTCTCTGTATCCTAACCAAAGCTAATTTAAACAAATAAAGAAATAAATGAAGGACTGGGAAGATGGCTCGGCAGTTGAGAGCACCTACTAGTCTCCTGTTGTGTGGCTCTCACCTTCATGTCACTGCAGCTCTAGGGGATGCTACGTGTCTGGCCTCTGAAGGCACCTGCAGTCACGTGCATCACACACACACACACACACACACACACACACACACACACACACACACACACACGAATGCAAGAGAGAGAGAAAGACAGAGAGATAAAGAGAATTAAATCTAAAGCTCCCCTCCTTAGTATAGATAAAAGTTCCTTTTATAGATTTATTTTTTAATTTTATTTTTATGAGTGTCTGCTTGCATATATATGTGAACCACATGCATGTCTGGTGTGTGAAGAGTCCTGAAGTTCCAGATTGCCGGAACTACAGTTACAGATAATTGTGAGCTGTCATTTGAGCGGTTTTAGGAAATGGTCCTGGGTTCTCAACAAGAGCAACAAGAGCTCTAAACCACGGCGCCCTCTCTCAGATCTACAAAAGATAATTCTTAACAGAGTAGTAGCAAATAGCAAAATAATAATAATGGGATTTTCACAAGTAATTAGACTTGATCACCATGGTCATTTTAGACAGGTGATTAATTACATGGACAGCTTATATTACTGTTCGAGTTTCAGGTGGGAGTTTCCACTGTGTGGCTTGTGCCAGGGTTTTACTTCATCCTTGTGTGTCTTCTTACATTGTGTTGTATTTTATACTGACTATTGAATTCAGCACCTCCCTCACACCAAACGTGTTGTGTTGTTAAGCACTACTCTACCCTGTGGTAGGGCTTTAATCTCAGCTTTCTGACTCCATATTTCCTGCTTTCTCACCAAAATGGATTTTCAGATGTCAAACTGGCTTGGTTTTCCTCAATGGCTAGGTCATCTGTTTGGTGACATCCTCAAGACCCGACTTGTCATACATTTATATAATATAAATATATAGTACTATGTCTGAATGTTAAAATAGAAATCAGAAATGATCTTCTAAAGTTCCAAGTTCTAAAGCTGTCCTTTTTACTTTACAGTAAATAAAACCATGGTTAGAGCAGACACGTATGCGCAGTGTATGTTGCTTCTCTAATTCAGCCCCTTCTTGGTTTTCTTCCCACAGCTTCTCGATCCTCCCGAGTGTGGCAATGGCTTCATTGAAACTGGAGAAGAGTGTGATTGTGGCACTACTGCAGTAAGTTCCCTGTCATTTTTGAAGACAGTTTTTAGGTAGCTAGGAGTCATTCTAGCTCAGTGCCCTTAAAATCATACTTATATGTCGACATTTTATAGGATTTGTGGATGAATGGTTGCCAGTGTGAGTTTGAACATGTACTTTAAAACTATCTTGGTATTTTTGGGAAAACGACAACATTTTCTAGTGTTTTGCAACTGCTGATATTCCCCAGGAATGCGCCCTTGAAGGAGCCGAGTGTTGTAAGAAGTGCACCTTGACTCAGGACTCTCAGTGCAGTGATGGCCTCTGTTGTAAGAAGTGCAAGGTAAGTCATTGGCCGATAATGGCCAAAGATTGGAAGGGAGGTGTGCTTAAGCTTTCAGGTCTATGTGTGTATAACTTACTAACACTGCCCTACACAGAGCAAATGACTGAAGTCCTAGCGGTTATAGGATCCTCCTGAAGTGTGACTTTGTTAGCATTCTCATCTAATAGTTAATTACCCAGTGTCTTAAAGCAGTGCGTGCAGAGATGGGACCTGTTTCATCTCAGAGGCTGCCCTCCTCATCCTGGCTCCTTAAGGAGAAACAGGTGTTAACTAATCTTAGAATCGAAGATGTTCACGGTATTCTTCTTTTCTTGGTGTATATCTTGGTCCATCCTTCCGCATTAGCCACTTAGGGATCAAGAGAGAGGGATGCTTAAGACAAGATCATCCTGTATTGACATGGAGATGAGAATGGATCTTTATCTCCTATCCAATTTCATCCTTCCCACAGCATCTTCAGACTTATCTCCAAATATTTAAACTTTTAGATCAAGATTAAAAGTTACGTAGGGCTTAACTTTCCCAAAGAAAATTTTTTCTTTTCCTCATACATTGCCTTATAATAATACTCTGTTATTTCTGAGTTTTGGGACCTGTTTATCTATTTTTATGGAGCAGAGCCAGGTACCTGTAGAGTAATTGGTATACATTATCAGCGCATGTTTGTTAAGTGGCTAAATGAACTTCCAATGATTATTTGCTGATTTCATAGCTTTAATGGGCTAAAGGAAGGTGGCATATAAAACTGTCATGGCAGTTGTCCTCTTTGGGATAAGCACTTTTGACTTGAGTCATCTTAAATCTGGATTTCCGGGGCCAATACCAACATCCTTGTCTGGATAAGAATAAGACATACTGTTTGTAGTCAGGATTTACCTTGTGCTTTGCAGGATGTTAGCAGCATCCTAGGGTTACAATCATTAGATTCTAGAAGAACTGCTCCAGTTATGACAACCAAAAATGTCTCCAAATGTTAAAATGTCTCCTTTGGGACAAAATCACCCCAGCCTGATACCTCTGTCTGAGATAGCACTCTCTGGCACAATTTGAGAATTGGCATGGTCATCCTCACTTTGACAGATGAGCTGTTCTGATCTAAGGATGCTAAGGAACCCGCAGAGGCTGGCTCAGAGGAAGGCACAGCTGCCTGCTGACCCCCAGCCCTGCTAGCCTTGGTTCCTGTTGTTCTCACTGTATCACTGTGCCTCTGGCTGCTTTTTGCTGGGTCTTTGAAAGCACTTTCCTCAAGGGGAGGTTAAGCCACATGTGACAGAGATGCTCTCTCTCGCTTGGCTCAGGAGCCTGAAAGGCTCTGAGCAGGGAGTTGGGGACAGGATCCTGGGCTTGTCTCCATAAGTGGAGCACAAACACAGATGGATCCAGTTCCCAATATCAGTGATTTTGAGAGGAGAAAAGAGAGGGGTGAAGCTTCTGATAGCTTTACATGTGCCTGTTTTGCTTTGGTATAAAGAGTTAAATTGAATCTATAAATCCAATGAAGCTCCAGATTGGTTCCGCAGCATAACACGAGTAAGAAGTATTTGAGGTATTTGGAAACCAAGAAGCACAAAGCAAGCCCCCGGCAACACTTGTCCAGAGGCACTAATAACAGAAAACCAGAAAAGAGTAAAAGATATATGTAGAGATGAGTCAGGGGAATGGGAAGGAAAGCTCGGGGAAAACACTTTTCTGGGAAGTAACTGTGATGCAGTCCAAAATGTAACGTAAGCTGAAGCAAACGCTGTACGATAAAGGTGTAAATAAGAAAGAAGGGTGAAGCCCGAATCCAGACTGCTTGGCAAGAACTCCTGGAGTGTGGCCTAACTCTTCCTTGAAGCTCTGCCCGTTTCAACAGGATACTGTTACACTTATGTGTGGTGACTATGGAAGTTACTTCACCTACGAGAAACTGTCTTACCATTATTAAAATAGCAGTTGGTTCAATAACTGTGTTTTGTGCAGACTGCCATCTTAAAATAGTTTAAGGTGTTCCTTTCCAAATGGTTTTTTGAATGGGACTATGAGGGGTTTTTTTTTTTTTTTTTTTTTTTTTTTTTTTTTTATCTTTTCACAGTTTTGCACATTGAGTGATGTTCTTTTCAGTTTCAGCCTCTGGGGACTGTGTGCCGAGAGGCAGTCAACGATTGTGATATTCGTGAAATCTGTTCAGGAAATTCAAGCCAGGTAACCTACCCACTAGTTACTCTACATAGGATAACTACAGGGAAAGTGGGGTCATCTTTGGTGTGTTAAAGAAAAATGGAACAGGATGTCCTGTGTCTCTGTAATGTCACACCAACCTCTGTGTGGGGGGGAGAGGATTGGGGATCGAACCAAGGCCTGCACATGTCGGGCAAATGTTCAACCATCAAGATACATGTCCAGCTCATGGGCGTGATAGATGGCTAGTATCTTTTTTGATTGTTATCTTTGCAAAGTCTCACATTCTGTCACTAATAAACAAAGAGACAACACAACCGTCTTCTTTCTGTGTTATGACTGAATAAATAAGCCCTGGAAAAATGAACAAGGTAGGTCACTGATCATGACGGTCACCTTCCACTTCTCCAGTGACCAGGTGACGCAAGGCTGGGAGAGGTGGTTGTGTTTTGCATTATTTGTGTTTTATTTAACAAAATCATAGAAACTGAAATTCATACATAGCAGAGCAAGGGTTGCTATGGTTCTTCACTACAGTTATATCACTACCTAATCTGTAGTGATATACAGATTAGGTAGTGATATAACTGTAATAAAAAAGATTGATTTTAAAAGATACAGAGAGATCTTTATGTAAGAGCATTCTCCTTTCTTACTGAGTTAATTAGCAGTCTTTCAAGCTAAGGACATAATAATTACCACTAAGGCTCCCAGGCATAAGCATACTACATCAATGTCATTATAAATAAGCAGGAATTATTAAACAATCTTAATTCCAGGCTCAGCACGGTTCTCTGTTGGGTTAGCTAAATAGGCTTGTTAGAGGGAATTGTTATAGAACACTGATACCTTCATTTAATATGTTGCATCCATTATAAATGATGTCTACAGACATCAATGATATGAGGAAGTTTATGTGACAAAAATAAAGAAGTAGAAAATAATGTATATGCAATTTCATTTTACTTTTATCTTAAACACTGGGTTTTATAGACAAGGGTAGAGATAAATGTCTAGAAGTAAAGCCAGCTGCATTAGGTGGCTTCTCTGCCACATCTTTTTTTTCTGTCCTTTTACACTGGCCATCTTCCCCAAGGCACTATATAATTACGTGTTTTCTCTCATTGCAGTAAGGAATCCTTTATGACTGGTTGTATCTTCACCAGACTACAATTTTTAAGTTGCTTCAAGGGAAAAAGCATGATAAAGTATGACATTCTTTTCAAAAGTCAACATCAGAGGCAACTTAAGTCTTTTCCCCTCCCTTCAAAACCCTCCCCATTTTTTTCTTGTAATTTTTTTTTTATTTTTAAAATTCTTTAACACAATAATGAGTCCACCATAGATTTTCAGATGTATTTCATTTTAGTTGATTCTGTCTCCATCTTCCTGCCCCTGCTTTCCTCTACTGTATCCTCTATTTGCAGTATTTTAAGTGAAAGGCTGTGTTGCTCCTAGTGGCAAACGAGAACTTTTTTGGCTTCACTGATGGGGACCTGTTCCTCACTTTTTTTTAAGCCCTGCCTTCTTCTCTAAGGAACAGTGTGTCTGAATGAAGCATAGGCTAATACACATGTAAGTTCTTTGCTTTTATGGCTGTGTAATCAGTTTTTGCCTCGGGTAGACGCCATATTTTTAAGTGATGCGCAACAGCTCTCTTTCCTCATATCTTCTTTTAATCTTCTGCTTTTTATTTATAGATAGTTTAAGGGACTAGGTGTTAGTATTCAGGCATTTGTACTGGCCTGTCCTTGGGGTTCTGACAGGATACGCCCTCAGCTGCAGCCACTAAGAACACCACCTGTGCACATTCACTGTCTTCACTTTTT